TATTGTGTCAAAAAACTGAAAAAGCAATGTTCTAAAAAAACAGAAAATAAAAAGGATTATGATTGAAAAACTGTCTAATAAAGAGAGGGAGAGAGACTGCTGGAGACAGAAATGAGATGGGCCATGTGTATCCAATTTTTATTTCTGCCCAAAATCTACTAAAGCTTTTAAGTATTTTATAAATGAAAAAGTGTAAGATTTTGTTATCTGTTGTGGGCTGAACATTATTTACTATGGGCTGAGTTAATAAATAAATGAGCTTACTACAAAGAATAAAAAAAACCCCGGGCTGGAGCCCACCCCAACCTTTGGGGTGGCTCCACCCCTGAGTGATTCGAAGGCGTTTTGTTGGGCTTATGTGTTGTCAATTCCTTATGATATGTCCATATATTTTCATCATTTTAAAAATTTCATTCATATGGAAATATTGTTCTCCACCATTAATCTTGTCCAGTAATCCCAAGTTGTGTGTGTGTGTGTGTGTTGCAGCGTTGTATGCTGATTGTTTAATTGTTTAAAAATAATGGTGGATTCATTGTATGGTGATTATATATGCTGTAATTTGTTCCATTGACTTTGTTTTCCTGTGGGTAGTTACTGTTTTCTGGATAATTTAGTGGTATGTTGGAGTCCTTGTGTGTTCTTGGTTTATAATTTAGTGGTGCTCTGAACAAGGTAATTGCGAATTTGATTTCAATCCATCAAAATAATAAATTAAATAAAGTTGTTAATATTTATTGCTAATATAAAGTTGTTATGTAACAGATGTTATATTGTTGTTTTGTTGTCACGTATCATGTTTGTTTTCATAATATATAATATTAACCTTTTGCACCCACAATACAACAAACTATACAACTCCCAACAGGAGAATATCACGCTCCCAACAGAAGAATACACACTCCCAATAAGAGAATACACGCTCCCAATAAGAGAAAAAACAACATAACAACTAAAACACAAAACAAACAAAAACAAACTACCCAGAACAACACGCCCAAACAACACAAAAAGGAAAAAAAAACAAAGAACAAAGCCCTCCGCAACCGCCCACAACCAACCGAGGACTACCAAACAACACGGATCCCAAAGAAGGAAAACCGACCCGATCCAGATCTAGAAACTGCACTCAAAGGCCTAGCTAGATCCGAACCAAAATGAGCCCGAACTCCATTTAACGGAACCAACACGGACTACACCGAGAGTCCAACATCGATCTAGCCCCCCAACACCAAACCGGACGGCAGTCGACCACCATCGACGGCGGCCGACCACCCCCCGTCGGACCTCAACACCCCAGCACCGGGAGGCGGCAAGATCCAGGGAACTAGACGGCGTCGGTCTCAGTCCATTCCCCCACCACGGCGGAGGAAAACGCCAGTGGCCGCAACTTGCCGAACAGACGTCGGAGCACCCTCGAGAACCGCCATAGCTACCAGGAAACGGAGAGACGCCATGCCGCGAAGAGTGAGACGACCGGACTTTGAGCTCGCCACCACCTCGGTGTAGAGCAGTGCCGCTGTAGAGGCTGCCGGTCGGCCAGCGGAAGGGAGGCGGACGCGGCGGCGATTGAGAGGCTAGGTCACGATTTGGGGGTTTTTTTTTCTGTTTAGAGAAAGAAAAAGTTACAAATTTAACCTTTTAAGTTACAAATATAAATATTTCTGTTACCTTTTAGTTAATTTAATAGTTGTGTATCTATATAATCAATTGAACAATCTTTTTATTTATATTATATTTTTTTGGTTGTTTTTTTTTCTTTGGCATTCATGTTTGGAGAAGAAGAAGAAATATTTGGTGAAGAAGAAGAACAAAATAAGAAAAGGAGAAGAAGAAGAGGGAAATGACGTGGGGAAAGAGAATAAAGAGAGAGAAGGAGAAGAAATAAAAAAAATGGATAATGATTTTTAATTAGGTAGTTTTATTTGTTTATTTATTTGTATATGAGGGAGTTATACATTTTCCATGTTTTGGAGGTGGTTTGGCAATTTGGAATTCTATGTGACTAGTGTTTGTAGTGAATGTATATTTTTTAGGTAGTTATGTCTTTTGCCCCCAAGAAGTCAGCGCAATAAAGAGCCTATCATAAAACAATACTCAAATACAGAAAAGGATAAAATGACATTTATTTTTGTTTTAAAGCAAATATTATTTTTAACAACAATTGAAATTTATTTCATACTTACTCTATTATGTTTTTAATATGCGTTTTATAGGACATAATTATCTCTTAATAACTTATTAGTATTTTAAAGTGGATGACAATTATAATTTTTTAGGTGATTTTTTAAAATCTCACGTCTTTTCAAGTCTTTTCTTTGTCGGTTTTTAACTCATCATACACACTGTAACACACCGTGTACCCTTCTTTGTCGTGTCCGTGCATAAAGACGACTTTTTAAAGATCGTCCCCCAAATCATTCTTAATTTATTCATCGACATTGAAATCCCTCCTCCATGCCATGGTGTTTTTCACCATGAAACCAATTTCTTGACTCTGAAATGACTTTGAGCAAGTTGAAATCACTCCTATCGTCACTTAGTAGGGTGACCCCCTAAATCGATACTTGCTGGTTGGCGGGTTTAGAGGTTGACCCTCCTGTAAATACGTCATTTTTAAGCGTTTCTTGAACTAGAAGAAAGCAATACAACGATGAAATGTCTGGGAAAACTGAAGGAGGAGTGGACGTTGCTGGAATTTTTTGAGCTTTTAGATGAACAAGGAAGTTGCACGTGCGACGCACATGATTATTAATATTTTTGTAAGATTTAAAAGATATATTTTATTAAAATTATTAATTGTTTAGTTTTTTTGTTTTGGTTCACACTCTATATCTCATTAAACTTCAATGAGAAATTTCTATTTTTCATATATTTTTATTATCTGTAAGTTATTTTTATATTGTTTGAAGGTGTTATGGTATATATATATTTTTTTTGGGTTGCGGCACAAACTCTTATTTTCTATCTTGTAATTTTTCTCTCATACACAATTTACAACCTAAGGCAATACACATTGTTCCATTTTTCTTCCTAAGACTTTGTTTTTTTGCCTTCAATGTCTTCAATGATCGAACAAAACCTTTTTCATCATCTT